CCTCACAAGTTTCTTTGAACACTCCACGAGAGCTTCCATCTCATTTGTCACACCATTTCAGTTCAGCACAAATGAATTCTGCTGATTTGTCACAGAAGTTAAGCACCAGTAGTACGACAAATATCCCATCTCTGATGGATCTTCCATCCACATTCTCAGTAGCAGGTACGTCTTGCTTTTGTATCTCTGTCTCTGTTTATTATTTGTTTCGATTATGTTTTAGTCGAACCGATGGTGAACATGAGCACATCGAGCAGTAAACGACGACAAATTCCTGCATGGTTGCGTGAAGAACTTGGACGTATTGAACGTGAAAAAGTGAAAAAACTGCAGAGAAGCTTGAACGAATCGAGTGACTCAACTGTATGTTCTTTTCTTGTGTGACCATGTTTGGCATAGTTCAGTGTATTTCTTTTGCAGGGGAAGTTTGATAATGATTCTCAAAGTGGAAAGGAAGATGAAGAGCAGTTTGAAGAAGATGCCGATGAAAAGCCGTTGAATGATAATGGTGGAGATGCGGGAAGTAAGCAACGTTTTAAAGGTGGAGGAGAACAAGATGATGATGGTGATGATGATAATGAAGTCGTTGATAAATCAAGAGGAAGAGCATCAAAACTTCGTGGAAGAAGTCGATTTGTAGGCGATGGTTTTTCTCTTTCTTTCACACTAAGTAAGAGATGTATTTTGTGCATTTTAGGAAGTTGTCGATGATGAGTCGGATGAAGAAAGATCATACGAAGATATGAAACCGAATAATAATCGTTCAAGAACTGAGCAGTCGTTTAGACGATCAGTTTCACCACCTCGTCCATCGGCACCGTCACATTCTACATTACTGAAAGCTTCGAGAATCATCACAGAAAAAGGTGATGTGAGTCTCGAGGAGATTGTTGATGATCCGAAGAAGCTCGAAGAGTTTGTAAGTTTGCTCAATCTGGTAAAGTGTAGTGCGAGTAAGAGAACCACTGTTCGAGCGACAGTGATTTTCTCCACTTCTCTTGTCGAAAGCAAGGATGAACTTTTGAACTGTTTGAATTGTTTTGAGATGGTCAAGATTCGTCGAACGTTAACTGAATTATTGCTGGAAGTTACCAATGAAGAAATGATTTCTTTAGCCAAAGAGGTACTAAATTTCAACTTCAAAGGTATCTATCTGCTGAAACATTGTTTGATTTTGTCAGTGGCACTTTCGATGATGCATACATGCACAGGAGAGAGATGTGTGTGCGACTTGTATTATTGACGTAAATGTGTTTACATGCATCTTTTCAGCTCAAAATACTCCATCGTTAATACGCAAGTCGTCGGCTTTGTCAAGTCTTGTGCAAGGTACGTCGGTTTCTTCGAACAAAGTCTCTTGTAATAAAAGAAGAGAAAGTTGTTGTTGTAGGAGTGTCTTCCGATGATGAAGTGGAAGAAGAAGAAGAAAAATCAGATGATCATACCAAAGATGAACAACAAAAGGGAACAAGAAATGATGTCTACCAAGAAGAGAGTAAAAGTAACATCAGCGGTGATGATAAACGCTCGAATTCGCCATCTGTTTCTTCTCAAACAATGTCAGATCAGAGAAGTCTGTTCTTCTGATTATGTTGGTGTTAGTGTCGACAGTTTGTTTCTTTGTTTTAGCTCCTAAGTCATTGCCGACTGCGTCATCTGAACCAAAGTCGACAAAGTTTGATTCTCCTAAAACGGATAGGTCGTCAATGGGTAGAAAATCGAAGAAACGCTCTAAACATTCGTCGAGATCTTCTTCGTCATCTGAGTCGTCGAATACATCATCCACACGACATAAAAAGAGGAAAAAGCGTAAGAGTAAGCATTCTGTAACACCACAGAAGAAGCACAAACATCATTCGCCAAGTCCAAAACGAAAGTCCCACGAGGCGAAGTGGATCGAGAAGACTCCTAAAGAAGGAAAAAGTGATAAAGATCGTTCACACCGACCAGCAACGCGAGATGAAAAAGATTCTTCTAGACGTGGGAGTGATTATCATTCTCGTGTATCAGGTTCTTCCAGTAGAAGAAAGTGATAGACTCTGTTTCGCTAGTGCTGTGCTTGTGATGAGCACAATGCATCTTCTTTTGTTTTTCGTGTTTTACAGTTTTATTGTACAGAGCCCAATTTCATAATTGATCGAAGTATGTTCTTTGTTTTACAGTTTCTGTATGTGT